TTATGACGTTTCTTACCACATTTGTTAAGTGAATCACAGCAGATGTTAAGTTAGTAACACAGTTGTTAAGTGAACCTGGTTTCTGCATTACTTTGCTTGTCAGAAAATCAGTGACTCCGAGACACTGCAACCATACAAATACATGAGAGTTGCCAAGCGTCCAAATTTTGATCATGTGATCATGGGGATGCTGCAACAGTCGTAAGTGTGAAAAATGCTCATGTCACTTTTTTAGTGTAATTGTAACTTTGGTCACTTAACGAATGGTTAGCAGTCAAGGACTAATAGTATGTCTTTGTAATTACCAAGATAATCTTGTAGGGAATATTATATATATTTACTGTGGATCTTTTATTTTGCATCATATTTCAGCAATACTACAATTTATTAAGTTCAAACAGCTGTGTCATTGACTAAGTAAAGCAATTATCTCAGATAGCAGATACTGAGAGCAATGATAGCAGCCTTCCAGATGATTTTGGAAACAGTAGATGGCAAAACCCTAACTCTAACTTGATGGTATTCAATTACAAGTTCATTCTGTTTCTGTACATGAAATTGAGTGAGAGAGCTAACCGTTCCATTACGTTGTCTCTGTTTATCTTTCTTCTAAATAAATAAACCATCATTATTCCAAGAACTCAAGACTTTTGATCACACTACAGTCATGTGAGGAAAGTGCCAAAATATTGCAAAATCATACAGTGAACTTCATGGCTCATTTGGAATTTGAACCAGTGGTGGGATACAACTGGTACTGTTTTGATACGGTGCTCTGGAGGGCCCACCTGCCCTTCTTACCTGTATTTGAGCTGATCGGGGCTTCCGTAAACGGAGCTACAGTGCCTGCGAGACGCTCCACCAAGCAGCTGGAGCGTTTGGGGCAGTAAGTACGTATGCGCACGCTGCACACATGCTGTGCGCATGCATGTAGTGGACACCCAGCCCCATTGCACCATACCGTTTGCAATGGGATCTGGAACCCACCACTGATTTGAACCTATATCTTCCTAGTCCAAACATTACTTAGCCCACCTTTAATATAGGAGAATACATACAGAAGTTACTCATGAATTCTCAATATATATTCATTTGTTTTGGGATTTGAGAAGAGAAAAGCCTCTGGCCAAACTTTTCAGAAATTTTGCATTTAAGAATTTAGAAACGCCAATAATTTTTCCTATTTGAGACTGTTTCTCCAAAATTGTATTGTGTTTTGAGATAAAATCATTGGTTAGTGATTTCGCTATAAAGCCTGTATGTTTTTCTTGTCTTCTACCAGAAAGATGACAAGAGCTGCTAACAATCTAAATTTCAATTAGTATAAATTTTGAATAATTTAGAAAATAATTTAAAAGTGTCCACTTCTGAATATTAACATTACTTTGAAAGTCAGTTTCATGTTTCACAAATACTTTTTCATTACTTTTTATATGCAGTATGGATGGTGCAGATCTCTGCTTTGAAATTGTAAAGAGAGCAGATGCTGGTTTTGTGTACAGTGAAGCCGTAGCCAGGTATGTTGTCTTACTTTAATTCTGTGCTGGGAAGAATGAATAATAATTAACATATGTCTGATAGCTAACACTATAAGCAGCATTATTATAAGATAATCAGTCCGGAAAACTTATATAGGTAGTCTTTGTTTAGAGACCACAGTTGGGACCAGCAACTCAGTCATTAAGTGAAGCAGTCACTAAGTAAAACAGCAGCTAAGCTTATGATCCTACATCAGCTTTCCTTTGCTTTACAGACCTGCAAAGATAGTAAATATGACGATTGATTGCAAAGTTACTTTTTCATCACTGAACAGTCACTAAATGAGGACTACCTATATTCAATAAGTATTCTTTTAAAGATTAATACATGTTGAAGAAAGAAACTATGACTAGTAATGTTTTAAAAAGCAAAATATGTTATTATTTTAATTTTAGTTCTCAGTTATTTTAAATAATTGTGAAAAGATATCTCAAAAGTTTATAATTAAATTGTACTATTATTAGATTCATCATTATCAGTTACACTTCTAAATCTCCAATTAACAAAAGAACTTAATCAAGGCAAAGTGAAGCACTTTTAAATTAGGAGCATAAGAGGCTAGGATCTGACCTAGATTTGATTACTGTATTTTTCGGAGTATAAGACACACCTTTTTCCCTCAAAAAAGAGGCTGAAAATCTGGAGGCTTTTTTAAACAGTTAAGCACTAAGCAGAGTCATCCACTCTGGCAGCAACTAGCTCAGCCCGACCTCAGCTCTTGCCTTTTTTCTTTTACATTTTTTTTTTTTCATGATG